AAAAGCACTATATACAGTAAGTGTAAGGAGATATTATTATTAAAAATTGTGGCAATAGTCTGCTGCAGCATTTACCCACATGGTTCACAAATACTCAGTGCATGTTTCTACATGTGTTATATAAATCTGTATATACTGTAAGTATACTACTGATATACTCATATACAGTACTATAGCAGTATGTTAGCAACATGTAATATGTCTTAATACATTTTATACTGTTGGTTGCCCGTCCTGTACCATTCCACACACAGTTGCTTTTTCTTTGTTTCAGACAGGGTTTCTAACCTTTCTACACATGGGTGTTCTTGAACAGAATGTCTGCCATCCACTGCAGTCAGTTCAGTACTTTGCTGTAATTCAGTGAGTTACTGTACAGCATTTGTAATGGGATGACCTTCAGGATTTAAGGGTGGAAGGGTAGATGTGTTGTACATAATTTCTAATTTAGTTCAGCCCAGGTGATGTTCTTGCCTCCAACTCAGGATTTCTGTCATCAAGGATTATCTTTACTCCTTTTTGCCTATTGCTATTTCAGTGTACAGTATTAATAAAATCACTGTTTTAATAAGCACGTTCTCTGAGAAAGTTAGAACTCCAAATATTTTTGTTCTTCTTCATCACTTTGAATTTCTGACAAGTGATGTTAAGAAGAAGTCTCTTGCTTGTCATGATATGATGTCCCTGGATTTAAGTCACTGAGTCAAACACAAGATGTGGATTGCAATATGAGCTGTATTGCAAATTCACGTTTTACCTGTTTTTACATTTTTGAAAAATGAATTAGTGTCCTCTGTTTAGTTACAGCAGCTGATTGTGAAAACCAATTACTTTTTGTGGAGTGATAATTAATTCTCTCCTACTAGTTTAACACTTTAGAAAAATGATCTAAAAAATGTTTGTCATTAAAAGGCTACACTGATTATGTAGCACCATACACCACTAATTTATATAAATTGATTCTTGCATTCCATTGAGGTGTTCTAATTTAATACTGGACATTGTTAATTCTGGATAAAACAACAGTTTTAGGCTTTTGATACATATAAATGTCAGGAAAAAAATAAGCCCCCTAGTGGCACTTACTTGTAAGCCAAGTTGCCACAAATTTTACTTGACCTCATTTTAAACTATGCATAAATATGTAAATAAAATTTTCACATACAATCACTGAATTCAATGTCACTGGAGATATTTATCATTAGTTTGGGTGCATTCAAAAGATCTAAAATATTCTCTTTTGTGGTTTGATGTGGTAAAACCCCTCCAGTTCATCTTAAATTTACATAATTTAGGTATTATACTTCTTATGACAAACTCTGCCAGTGTTTATTTTTTTTGAAGTTTTGGGAAAAAGCACAAATATGACACAAATTAAAAACTGGATTGCTGTAACTTAGCCTGAAGTATATTCCACTAGGGGCATGTGCATTTCTGACTTTCATGTGGATAAAAAAAGCTAGGACAGAAAAGTTTCCTCAGTTCAGAATGTACAATGTCCATTTTTTTAAAATAACACAACTCATTGACATAATATGCAGAATCCTAAAATAAGTTTTTTGATGTCTTTGAGCACTGTCGTCTCCCACACAAATATAATTAATACATCCTTTATTCTGACTCCCTCAGAATAAATATCCTTTATCAAAAAGCAGCTTAATCTTGGTCAGTACTGCAGCAGCCCAGATCCTATCCCTGAAGCATTAGGTATGAGGAGGAATACACCAAAATATAGGACACCTGCTCAAGTACATGGGGACAATAAAAATCTAGTTAATCTTGCCAGCATGTGTTTGGGAGATGGGAGGAAGAACCCATGCAAACTTCACACAGACAGGCTCCCAGCTCCAGAAATGACCCAGGATACAGGAACTGTGTGTAGTACCATTTTTGAATTTTGAATTAAGAAAACATTAGGGATATCTCATCCTGTTATAGATTGGTAAGCCTTTCCTGTGATGGGTTGTCACTTTTCTTTTTTGCAATATAAGGTGCTGGTTCTCATACCTAAACCACTTATGTTATATATCCCTATAGGAAGCAATGCAGATTTACGCACCTGCATTTTTTTTTCAATGTAGGACCATCTGTGACCATACAGTAAATTAAATCCATAATTTGTACACACCTGTCTTTTAATCCAGGCATCATGTCGTTTTATGGAAGGACGTGGCAAAATGTACTTGTATTGATTACAGATTTTCTGTGATGAAATGGAATCCAGTCCAGGGTGTATCCTGCCTTACACCTGTTGCTTAAATGAATTAGGTTCTGGCTCCCGCCTGCCCCTGTATCGGAAGAATGCATGGATGGATTACAGGTTGTGTATATGAAAAAGTAATATTATTTTAGAAAACAATCTTCTTGAAACTTTGTAATACCATGGGGATTTCTTTTTTCAGCCAAAGAAATGATTAAAATTTCAGATTAGGTCCAAATGTTGTGGCTGGCTGATGCATTGGAACTTTGTATTAGAAGCCAGCAGTGGAAGTTCTATAAACGTCCCTGAGGATTTTTCAAAGACTTTCAAGACAGCAGCCCAAGCGACAGCTGAAAGACTAAGGCTGTGGGTTAACACCCTCGACAGCACATGACAATACTAGACAACTTTGATCAAATAACCTAATGGGAAGTATTCCCTACCACTCTCACTCTGACACGTGAGAAACAACATTCTCAAAAGAAAAAAAAAGGTTTGTTTAAGTTTTGAAATAATCAGATGTGACACATATTAATGATTATCACCATTTTGTTAAACGTTTTACCAAATCGTGCATTCAAAACAGAATGTCCCGATAACTTTCTGGATACAATAGACACCACTAAATGGCTGACCAGAAAAAAGTTGCCTAATTATTGATATTAAGTGCTAAATATATATATTACATTATATTGTGGTGTGATATAGAGCATGTTTATGCTGTTTTATTGAAGCAAAGTAATTGTTAAATTCAACACACACCTTGGGAATAAGAATGAAAAACTACCACCCAAGATCTCTTTTGGATAGGCTATCTGGTTTTCTCCACAAATTTTTTGGAGGATATGATCTTTGTTGTTTCACTTTGGACGCTGTCAATATCTTTTATTAAGTAGCCTGGCTGAATGGGAGAATAGGAGTGGTGTTCTAAATTAGACAGAAATAAGCAAACAAAAAAAAAACAGAAAATCAGTTTTTGGTTAAAGTGGGTTGAGGAAACAAGAAGTGAAATTTGCTACTTTTGCCCTGATCCAGGCCAGTATATCTTACAGGGACAGTTTGTACACCAGATTATCCCTCCTATGCAAATTTCCTCTCTCACTGGCTGCCTCCCAGTGATGCATGAGGGAGAAGCAGTGGCCACATCTGCTTCCCATTTTTGCCGAATCAGAGAGCAGCCATCTGGTTGGCTTCATCCCGGCCAACCTGCTTAGTACTGATTAGCTTCCTCACTTCTCTACCAGCCAGGCCCAGACCTCATAGTTCTCTCTGGCTCCAGTGCCGTTTCCCTCCAATTGCCTGAAAAACTCCCCAACTCTCCAAGACCTTGAACAGTAAGGGGTAGGCGTGCATGTGCTTTTCTCAGTCTTCCTCACAGACTTTCACCAACTGTCAGCTCTGCACCCCTACTTTCATCTTCCTTTGATTACCAGGTGTGGTTTCAACTATCGATGTATAGAGAACAACAGACTGTACTTTTAGTGGTTGATTGTGGTGGGTGGGAGGCTGGGGTCTTGGTGTCTATTTTTTTTTAAATCCAAGAAGTTTACAAAACATGGTTTCTAAAATGTTATTGCTGTAACAATATATGCAAACCACCTTTGACTCCTAATTTTCATGAACCATATTAAAGATATATTTTAAATTAGCAATAAAAAATCCCATGAGTACAAAGAAGGTATGGTAACTAACAAAAGTATTCTAATGTGCCGATATCTTCCAATGGCTATTTTTTGCTTTTTTAAGAGAGATTGTGTAACAACAGTTTTCTTATTTCATACAGTGTATCACAGAAATTGCCACAATGGGTTAATTCAATTTCAAAAAGTCCACAACACCTAGAAAGTAAAAACACCTTTATATAATTTACTTCCCATTTATTTCTGACAAGGAATATTGCTATCAATCATTTTGTTTTTGACAGGCCTCATCCGTTGTCAGTATAGGGGGTGATGGTGTGATTGATTGACTGGCCTTATTTGTCTTTTGGCAGAAAGAAGCTATGGCAATTCATATTTAGGCTGGGAACGCTAATTATGCATCTCAAGATGGTAACAGAACCTCTAGAGAGCCAGCCTATCTATAATCATAAGAAGAATGAAAAAGAAGCAATAGAAAGTTCACTAGAAGCAAAGATTCTTTGTAAACATTTTCCTTGAAAAACGTTGAAACTTTGGATCTCTACTGCAATATAATGGTTGGCATTCACATACTATATGCTGAATGACATCTTCTACAATTGTGTTGTAGGTCATCCATTTGCCTTCTGTGTCCCTACAGTTGTCTTTCCTATCTTGCCCCCCTTAATGCATAGCAAAACAGTTAACTGAACAAAAGAAATGCATGTTCACCAAGCCAATCTCAAGTGAAAAAGACTACATTCTTCAGGTGAATGGAGCACATGGAATCTATCACAGAAATGAGAGTGTACAAGGTTTAAGCAAATGTCTGTTGTTCTTTTTTTCCCACATTGAAAGTTGAGGATAAATTAACCAGCTTTATGTACTTTCTAGAGGGTAATCTTTAAAACATCACAAGCTTCAAGGTTGTTTTTAACATGAGAACAGAAAACAAAATAAGCACAACCTCATCTAATTTAAGGACACTGAACATTTTAGTAGGGGTAGGGGTGGCAAATATCTCTAAAGATATAAAAGATATATGATAACAACAACAACAACAACAATAACAACATACCACTGTATGACTGAAGTTAGTATCAGATTTTTTTAACAATTGCAAATGCTATTTGTGAAAGTGTTTATGTTTTGGTTTAACTTAAGGAAAACAATAATCTGACTTATATAAAAAATCTTTTATTAGACAGTGTGGAAGCAAATTATATTCAGTCCAAAAAAACAATTCAAATATACAACCCATCTGTTCAAACAGGAAAAGAACTCTCCAGTGTAAAGTAATAAAATAATCCCAAAACTTTCTTCTGCTATTTCACTAAGTTTCACACATTCACCTATTTCATTTGCTTCATACTCACTTAATTTGAGGTCATAGCTAAAGGAATGCACACACCATAGCAAAAATACAGTATAACATATTTAAAAAAGGAATATGCAAGGATGAAGTTCATAACAATAAATAAAACACGTATCCAAAAATACCTAGTTGTCTAATAAGCATAAATAATAATAAAATGTTTGATAAAACATCTTGGGTGTCTTTTTGCCCTTTGCAACATTATAATATTAACATAGAGTATTATATTTTACTGGGTATATAACATTTGTTTATAAATTAACTTTACCTTAATGTTCACTCTGCTTTAAAGGAGGTCTCACATAGATTGCCCCTAACTTATTTGATTTAATTGGTACTTTCATTCCTAAGTACATGGGAGGATGGATGTGTCTCTAGAGTCCCTGTTGAAATCCTAATAATCAACTCAACAATGCTGACCTACAGTGCTAATGCAAAATTTATGCCAGCCTTGTCTTATATCGTGCAAGTGATGTGACTAAATTTTAGATGTACAGTATCTGCAGCCTGTTTCGAATACAGGTCATTTGTAAAAGAAAACCATCCCTCATTTTCCACATCTATATTTGTGAATGTATTTTAGAACTAAAAACCACAAATGATTTTATTTTATGCTGTGCCCATGCTTTGTGTATCTCTGTGTTCATTTATCTGATCAGAAGGTCTGCAAATAACAAGGAACCTGGAATTGAAAATGTCACATAGAAAGTGGGGGCACAGTTACATGTATTTTAAATCTGAAAGGGAAGTTATGGCCTCAGTAGGGTTTATATTAAAATATTATTGAAAAGCGAGGCAATGACAATCAGAAACATTCCACTTCAGATTTAAAAAAAAATAGAGACTAAGAAAGAAACACTCGTTAGTCATCTCGCATTTTATTTCTCTAGAATGAACTAAAATGGCCCTTTATTTTGAATATCTTAAATCCTGCGTGATCTTCTTTGTACTCCATTTCTCTGATTTAATCTAATACACATTTTTTACATCTTTAGGTGGTTCTTTAAAAAATTAATCTAGCAAATACAGGCATGTAATAGATTATGAAATATAAGTTTTCTGTAAAAATAACATTTTTTAAAAAATAAGAACTGTTGCATAAGGATTTCTGTTGAAAACCCTCCTCCACTATCCCAGCCACTCTCTTGAACATATGTCCACAGAAATCAGCAGCTAGTAAATTAATTTGAAATACATTATATTTTGCCTAGAATACTGCTAACAATACAGGCTAATTTACAGTCACTATTAGTAGTCTGGTATAAAAATGTTTTTATATAAGAGACACAATTTAATAGCTAACTAAATCTTTATTCTTGTTCATCTGACCAGTAAATTTGACTTTTCATTTTTGTTTGTTGCCATCTAATTCTTATTTTTAGTGTCTACAAAGAACCCTCTACATGGCATTTTTATACTGCATTAAGTTATTGTTAATGTGACAAATGCATAAAAAGAGCATTTCCATAGCTTGAATCTTCATCTTCACTTTAGAACAGGTTATGTGTTTTAATGTAAAACATCTCCAATGTACAAAGAATAATATAAAAGCATAGAGACTGACTTACAAAAACGTTCCATCTTTTATTAAGGATTTCAATCTTTTATTGGCTAATATAGTTTTTCCTATATCTGTACCTAAAAATCTGGCTGTCATCATGACACATCTCTTCATATAAAAAAAAATACTTTGCTGACATGTCTGCTATAATTTACTTGGGAATAAAAGCAGGACAAGCCAGTTTCTAACAATAAAATCAATCTTGTCTGTGGATGGTGTTATGAGCAGCAGTGCCACAATGCAAGCAAGCATGCATTTTAAAAGCATTGTTTTTTTTCCAATTAATTCTAACCTCAGATTTGATTTTATACTCCATGCCTTTCAAAGTTGTGTCTTTAAAATATTTTTTTTCTTATTGCAAAGAGCATTTCTGTCCCTTGATTGAATAGGACAAAAATTGTGTACAACAAAAAAAAATCCAAACAAATCCACAATTTAAACTATACAAACTATAATTTACCCTAGAATATTATAAAATATTGTATTTAATTTTTTTATGCTACATCAATCATATACAGTACCACCTCCATTCTTTGCCTTAAGAATATTGTATCATCATGAAAAAATTTGGGTAAGAATGTAAAATACGGAAGACAAGAGGAGCATAAGAATTAAACCTACAGTATGCTGTATGTAAATGTCAAAATCTATCCTATAGGAAAAAAGTTGCTTAACGCTAACATATCACTTTTCCCAGTTAATATCTCATGTCATTTTTGCAAAAGACACTGTTTTAGTTCACTGGATTTATGAAAAAGTAAGCGTCTCTGTATTAATCTATAATTTGGCATGTGATAACCTAGAAATATCAGTATTCATTTTTGTGGCCTACACTGACAGTGAACTTCAATAATTCACCGACAATAATTCAAAGCACCGACAATAATTCAAAGCAGACAAAGCAGACAAAAGCAAAATTCCTTCAAAATCTCTAACTGGAACAAAATAACTTTAAAAAAATGACACACAATGTAGAAATGGATATGCACAAAGTCATTTAAGCATCAATATTTTCATAGGGTAGCTATTTGAAAATTAAGCTATTTTACTTGAGAATATTTTCTGAATGGCCACTTACATGGGCATTATAATGATAAAATATCTGCTTTTACATGTTATGGGGCTAACACAAGTACATGTGAGAAAAAAAACTTAGTTTATTTAGTATAAATCTATTCCTATTTCATGATAAAAAAGCCAACAAACAAACAAAAAGAAGTTTTCATAACTGGTGCTTACAACATAAGTTAATGGCATTCAATTTCTTTCTAAATGACAGAAAATACAATTCTTTCAAATAAATGTGCTCTTTGAAAACCTACGCATGCAGTTCTGAAACTACTTAACTGTGTACAACTGTAAGTCCCTCAGGATGTGATTAAAGGCAGCTTAGTAGCGGTGCTCCCCTCTGGTTATGTGGGAAGAGAACTCATATTTGTCCTGGCTACGGAAGCCACACAGGTTGCACTCAAACGGGTCACGGAATCCATGGCAGCCCATGTGGATTGTGTACATGACGTGGTCAAGGAAGAGCACGCGACAGGGTTCACAGCGATACACCTTCACCTGCTCCCCATCGGTGGTGATGACCTTGAAGCCGTCAGACGGCAGCTCCACTCCTGCTACCCGCATGGCATCGTACTGCCGCTGCTCCTCCTTGACCGAAGTGATCCCCCCATTGCGGGCTTGTGGTGCAATGTGGTTGGTCAGGTAGATGAGGCCGCTCCCTCCCCCAGCCCGCTCCTCATTGTTGCTCTCGGTGTCAGTAGAATCGTGGCAGCTGTTGCTAGGAGATGCATCCCTCTCCGTGGAAGCAGACTTGGCCTTAGAGAGGAGCAGCAGGTTCTCAGCAGCGCTGTCCTGTGCCGATATGCTGTGGCCATTGTTGCGGCCATGCGAGTCGCTGAGAGGCTTGTGTAGGGAATATATGGGGCTCATGACTACATCAGATGAGGAGGGAGGAGTCTGCACCAGTGGGCGCAGGGACTCAGCCCCCAGGTAACTGATGGCACTATTGATGGCTTGGTCCATTACATGTGGCTGCATCATTTCGCTCTCCTTCTCAAAGCTGTTGGAGTTTCCATCAAAGGAGAGGTCTGACAGTCTCTTCTCTCCTGAGCAAAAGAGAGGCTAAAGGTTAAGAAGTGCTTCCCTGAGATTTCAGTACTCGTTATGGTGTTACATTTAAGTAAACTATTTTTTTTGCTTAAAATTCTCTTATTTGATAAAGAAATAGACATCTACTTGTCCTGACATTTCCAAGTAATAAAAAACTTTTTGTAACAATAAAAGTAACAAAATAGCTATATCTGTCATAAATGTTATTCCCATTGTAGTACATCAATATTTTTGTTTCCTCTGTGTTAACCAAGTATTATTCAGAGCATTATTACAGTTCACATGCACTGTAGTGTACATTACATTGTATTGCTTATGTCTATTATGTTTAAATGTCATTACAAATACTGATATTTACAATATTATGAAAATTCAACCTATCTTTTATGTTTACTTATAGTTCATCTAATGAAACTTCATCAGTGAACAAACAAAAACAGTTACAAAAGGGGGAAAAGAATAAAAGAACAGCAGGGGAAAATTCTTGAATTTAGGAACAGTCTTTGTAGGTTTTTCCCTTTGTTTTGTATATTCTGAAGTCCTCTTCACTGCTGTTACCCACAAATGGGCAAGCAGGCTTACAACTAATGAGTTTCTTCATCACCTAGACAGATCCTCTTTTCACTAAATAAACAAAATAAGCGGATGTTGCTGAGCTATCATGCAAGGAGTTCGACCAAATAGCTTCCATCAGGCCTCACATGGGCATCTGCACAGCAGAGGTCACTGTGGCGAGCGAGGCAAACAAACTAAAAGACAGACTTCCCTTCCCTAACTGTCTAGAGAACAGGTTTCCTTTTACATTCAGACTGAACTGGAAAGTGTGATACGTTAAATGCTGATCTTAGTACTAATTCTCTGCACTAGTAAAATGTGCAAATGTGAAGTAGATATCTCTGGATACTGAGAGTTTGCCTTGCCTTTCTGTGATGCTTTACAAAAAGATCCTCTTACAAAGGGCACTGAAACAGGTTTGTAGCTCACATATAGTACTGCTAAAGCATCTGTTGTGCATATAATTTGTTTAAATCTGGATATACTCTATACTTTAAATTCAAGCCTAATCTGGTGATTTGTTCATTATCAGTGGATAATTATTACTTTTCTATCCTTTTCCTGTTATCATTTGGATCTTTTGAGAAATTTGCAACCATCAAAGTTTTGTACAAGAAATGTAGCCCTACAAAATACATTCATGGAAACATTATTACTCTGAAATAGGAAGCATTACTCCACAGTGATGTGAGTATGTGAGTGAAAGAGTTTTAACATGGCAAACAATTAAATTAATATAGGCCCAGGTCTGAGCTATGAAAGTGACAAATCAAGAAGTAAACTCTGCTGAGCAATGAAAAGATGAATAATGTGTATAGTCTGATAATCTACTGTTCATACATGAGTGCAGAACTTCCAAAAGAATTTGGAACTTCTTTTGGAAATTGAAGTAATTATAAAACTAAAAGTTTCTTTCTAATGTCTGTCCTGAAATATCATCATAGAGGATCACCACCAGAAAAAAATAGTACAGTATGGAGTTGCTGGAGCTCATCAACACTGATAGTAAAATTTGTGTCATGTCTGGTAACTGGTGATGATGGTACATGGCCAAGACTGGACTTTAAGCCCTTGGCTTTCATCTCATTTCCATCCCTAAGGAATTTCCAAACTGTGGTCTCAGCAGGCAATATTATGGCCAGCACCTGAGAATTAAAAGCGGCACTGCAGATCAAATACATGCCACATGAACTTACAATATTATGAAGCTGACCTGACTATGTAAGGCATCCATACAATCTGCCAGGAAATGCACCAATTTACAAGTCCAAAAATGCATGGGGATGTACTTTGCAAATATGGGTTTTTAGCAGTTGAATCATCCACACTACAGCCCAGACAGTTCTGATAACAGGTCTGCACTGCAAGAAATGTGGTTTCAAGATGATGATTCCTTGCCATCAGCTATTATCAAGTGGTTAATGGGGCAGCCTGAAGAGTTCTGTTAAATGGGTACAGATACACAGAAGGACAAATACACTAGGTGCAGTGAGATGAAAGATGATGGTAATGAGAAATAAAGTTGAGAAATTATTATGCTCATTTTTGAGCAGCCCATGTATTTCTATTCACACATATGATTTCAAATACTGGCACACCAATTATTTTCTAAAAAGCAGATATTATTTATAAATAGATACTAATAACACAATCATTTGCTAAAGTACTTAAACATGAACTAATTATTACCTTATACAAAGTAGTTAATGTAGTTAATGGCATTTATCCATTAACTCATTTTTAATTTCCGGCAATACAATTTAAGCAACTAGAAATCAATGCAAATGGTAAAATCATAGGAGAGAAAAGAGGGTGGCCTTCAAACATCGATGTTTTGCACTGAAATATATGAATGTATATATATAATTCTTTTTCACAAACGGAAAATAAATTTAGCAATATACATTAGCATTTAACAATAAATATTAATTCCAGAAACAGAAAATAACTACTTTGGCAGAACAGAGGATTCACGGGCACACAAAAAGGTGTTCTATTTCTAGTATTACCAGTATATAATTTCTATATTTTTTACAGTATTACACTGTATTGCTGTCTTGCTGTCTTGCTTGTCTCTGTACACCATACATTTATTGAACAGGCACACTTCCTATCACTTTCAGATAGATACTCAAAGAAAGCAGACATTTAACCCTTACCCACAAACTTCTGAGGCATAGAACTCTTACGTTTGGCTACATTATTAGCTAGTCTGTCTAGGACCAAGGCTCTGTCTGATCCCATCTTGCTTAAGTCTTCACTCATCTCATTCTGGTTGCTTTCTTCCTTTACTACTGGAAAGCAAGATAGAAAGGTGAAGTTTAGGATTAAGATGATAAAATCTATTCTCCTCAACTCTTTATTTACTCTGGATCTGTTTTTTACTGCTCCACATCTTACAATATGTGATGTTTGTTGGTCGCAATTCTTACTGTTTTTAACCGTCTTAAGCAAGATAAACTACTGTTATATAACAGTCGGATAAAAACAAAGTTCATAAATTTATAGGACAATTTACAACTATAAAAGCAGGGGAACGGAATTCCCAAGCAAAAGGAAGTTTGTGGGAAAGCACACACAGAGTTAATAACTGACTTTTACAAAGCTGCCAAGCCTGTGTCCAAACTACACTTCCTTCATTGACATGTTTGGGAAACACTGAGCTAAAGTCTTCCCATGTTCAGGAAAATAAATAGTGATGGGCCCTTATTACCATCAGAGGTTTCTATCTAACAGCATCTCACTTCAAACGAAAGTATCTCTTGTCATGTAGTCTGGGCAAGCAGACCTCCAATTTTACAACTATCTGCTGGTTTTTATGCAGAGACCTCTATATTAATTTTATTTCACTCACACTATAGGAAACTGCTAAATTGAAACTGTATGCAAAAAAAACATTATTTTTTATATAATGCTTTACTCTATTTGTGAAGGAACATGTAATAGGTTTATTCCATGCTGAAAAGAGAAGAAAGAAAACACAACATTTCGGCCATGGAGCCTTCTTCAGATGTCAGGTGTTACTATATTTGTTCCTAGCTCTTATCCTGGGAAACTCCTGTCTCTGCTGGTTTTCATTCCAACTAAACTTTAATCACTAATGCTTAATGATTTCTTTATTTGATTTGCTTGAATAATTACTCTTTTGTTTAGCTGTTTCTGCATTCAGGGTTTGGTTCCAAAAATATCCAATTTCAAATGTAAAGTAACATCTTCAGCATACAAGTTTATATAGTCTCAACTTCTCTGTGAAGGGTTTGCTCACTTATTTCTGTCTTATTTCTGAAAAATAAATGCTCTTTAGATAGTCAATGTATGACAACAGACACTGACAGGAATGACAATATATCAAACACTCAAGCAATATTTATTCCTTCCAAGGTCCCAACTGATTATATTTCACGAAATACTCTTGAATGTGGGGAGTAACTGGTGTAGAGTTGATATGAATTATAAATCCCATTCAACTTTTTATGAGTTACAAATAAAGTTAAAAATGTGTCTCCAATAGAAGGCTGAAAGCAGATAGCCTGTGATTATAAACATGGCTGGAATAAAAACTTTCAGTATCACGATTGGAAATAACAGATTTAGTTCACTCTTACTATGAACTTTGTTATGTGAGATATATTACAAAATCTAAAAATCTATTCTCAATAAAGACAGTCTCCTATGTGAGTATGTTATAAATGGAATATGCCAATGATATAATTTTGAGTTAAATAAGATCAAGAATATAATGCATGTCAATATTATCTACGAGTAACACTGTTTAAGAATGGCAACATTTGAAATCAGCCTGTGGTTTGCTAGAAGGAGTTTACATTATATGAATAATACTAGTATACAGCACATCATATAAGATGTGCAGAAAAGTTCATTTCTCCAAAGTCTAACTGTGGAAACTAGTGTATACAGTATGCACAAACAGTTTGTCCAATGTCACATTTTGCCATTAAGTTCCAGAAGAGTTTTAGTGGTGGTAATATAATACAGTATGTGGAAGTAATAGGTTTATTCCATGCTGAAAAGAGAAGAAAGAAAACAATGTTTCGGCTGTGGAGCCTTCTTCAGGTGTCTACACCTGAAGCAACTGACACCTGAAGAAGGCTCCGCAGCAAAAACATTGTGTTTTATTTCTTCTCTTTTCAGCATGGAATAAACCTATTACTTGTTCCTTTGCAGTCTACACATACTGACGGAGCTACCCACCTGAACTAATAGTATTGTATGTTACTATTTAAATAAGCTAAATTTTAAAAATACAAATCCGTAATAACTCACAACAATGTTGCAGCACTTAAAGTATTCTTTTTGTCTTTGTTGACTAACAACAAGAGCTTGGACAAAAGTGATGGCCTCTGAAAGCAGCAATCTGATCAATTAAAAAACGAATTAATATGTTACAGAAGGTTAGCCTGGAATCTTATATTAACATGCAAAAATAATTAAATGCCTATTTAGAACAATGGTTGCAAAACCTTTCCTGCACAACAAAATTATAGTTGATATATCAGGTATGATTTGTTATATTCAATGTTTTATTCAATTTGTTTTATATAATCATCATAATATCAAGTCTGTACTTTGGTTGATTTTTAATATTACTGTGCATGGTTTAATTGTTCTGATCAATTTTTAATTTTATTTTCATTCAGACTCTTCCCATTTTTATAAATGTATCCTTTTCAGTATTACTTAAATCTTAAAACATGTTTTTACAATGTACAGTACAGTATGTTCTGAAGACTTAATTATTGATTCTAAACCAAGCAAATGTTTATTTTGCAATACTACAGTATTTCTATAAAAGCAGAAAAGGCAAAAATTTTGAGAATATCTCTTATAATCTACATTTTAGAACATTTTAGTAAAGTTAGTTATAAAGTTATTCTACATGGAGTATCAAGGAGTATTCATGATAATAAAACTTTCCAAAGAAACATCTCAGATCTATTAAATTTTATTTCTATTAGTATCCACGACACCATCCCCTACAACACATAGACCATGCACATAACTATTCTCTATTTAAAACTGCTGCAATTACGGATAAAGAAATAACTGAGTTTTAATCTTACACAACTGCAGAATAGCTACTAACAATTGTTAGCTCTATCTTTTGCAGCTGTAAAAAAAGCAATGAAGCATTCTCAAAACATTGCTTTCCAAGGAATATTTTAAAACACCTTGCTTTTGGAAACAAATGAACAGAAAAGGAAAAAACCTCTCATAAAGGACTCCTGTAAGTATAAAACAAAATTGTCCTGAAGTACTACATGGTCCCAAGTGAGGTCTATGACACATGACTATGTGCTTAAAAATGCCACACACTGTGCAAAAAAGCATAATTTACATAAAGCATGAGATTCTGAGTTTAGTAATGTTTAATGAGATCAGTATGAGATTTTAAACTGTTCTTCAGCAATTTATATTCCTACAGTGCCATAAAGACCAGAAGTGCCCAAGTGTTGAATCCCTAGTTTAACCTGCAGCAGGAAGTGAAGCACTTTGGTATAGCAGAACATTGTTTGAAAAAGGTATTAACTTTAAACAGCCACCCCAGAACATTTTATGGATTCATTTTGAATAAACTTTTTTACATTTCATATTCCTCTTCTAAGCCCTCACCTGAGTAGATGGTGTTTTGAAGCCCCATGCACTGCAAGTAATTATGACAACGCTCCTTGTGTTCTTCCAATGAGCTGCGTTGTTTGTAGCTCCGCCCACAATAAGCACATTTGTGAGGTTTTCCAACTGTCAAGACCAGAAATTAGTTTTAAACTTGTGCATGACAATTTTGATTACATCACAAATGAATCATATGAAACAAAGAAAATGCAGTGACAGCTATTTGAAAATGTTCTGAAGTCAATTTCAGGGACCACATCTAAACGTTATGTCTCTTTGTGTCAGAACACCTTCCATGTGTAAACAAGTTATTCTTTTTTACTGCTTTATAACAATTGTTATACAGTAGCTAACAGAGAACAGAAAAAGAAAAGATAACAAACAAAAGATGGAGTTTGCAAATGAAGAAAATACATTTGATTATGAAAAGTTAAATTACCTAGGTAAAACATTTTGGAAATACTAGTAAAACATTTTGTGTATATTTTTGTGTAGCTAAGGTGACTGACACATTTGTTAAATTTTTGAGCTCTCAATTGGTTCTAGGACTTTATTTTCTTTTCAGTAGTTGTGCTCAATGTGAGAAACTCAGCAAAGTCTAAGGAACCTTTACCCTTTAACTATTAAATAAGTATGCTGATCCCTTTGTGCTTTGTTCTCCATTTGAGCTTTTTGAATTTAAGATGATGTATTTATATTTCAACACATGTTAAAAATGGTGCAACTAAAATGCATAGAGAACATTTATTTTTCTACAAATTCACATCATTTAAAAGTTCATACGTGAAAAACCTTAAACATTATATCAAAATGTCATGATGTTATCTGTGCTTCTTTCTAAAACAAGACAGATAATTACATGAACATTTGAAATTTATTTTAAAATGATAAAAAATAATTGTGCTTTAAGGAATGATCTTAAATCATGATCTATCAAAGGCACTAAATTATTCAACATTTGATATTAGCAGGCTAAAGATATTTAAAATGCTATCTAAGTATTATTTTCAGTGTTTTATGTAGAACTTTTTGATCATAATTGAATTAACCTTCAGATTAAATGGTGTTGTATTTGATTTTCACCACCAAACCACAGCCTATGGGTTAGCTAATGAAGGATGTAGAATGTGTTTTGCTTTATCAGGGAAATTAATTAAATTAATTAATTACAGATACTGTTTGTTTTCTGTAAATATACCTACCAGAGTGAGTACGCAAGTGGCCAGTAAGAGCATCTCTTCTGCGACAGGCATAGTTGCACAAATGGCATTTGAAGGGCTTTTCGCCAGAATGCAACTTTATGTGGCGAAGCAGGTTGCCCTTTTGTGTGAAGGAGGCCCCACACTGATTGCACTGAAATGGCCGTTCCCCTGTAGAATATAGAAAACAGAAACAGCTCTATGAAGGCCTGAGTGCCTTGGCTAACTTAAACAGTTAGTAAGACACAACTTAGGTTCTGGGGAATTGAAGGACTATTACATCTGTGTCTTAAGGAACCAAAGTAAATTTCACGATGATAGATTTACTAATTCGATTCTAACTTCTGTTTTCTTCAGTACCTCCACCACTTCATGCAACCCACATTTTGCTGTTTTGTATGAATTTTGTAATTAAACTTCCTCATAAATTGCATTTAAAATTTTTTTTGATATTTCACGGGCTAGATAAATCATATATGTGACAGTGACTAAAAAAATAAGGTGCAATTGGAATTTGAGTATAGAATGGTTCACACAGTATGACTTCAAAAAAACTGTTGCAGGTGTTCGCCCAGTAAAACATTGCCTACTGTGAATGCAGACTAGTTTTTGTGGTCTGTGTTAGTGCCTTGCACTGACAGGAACTTTGTGGAGAAACTAACACAACCCCATTCAAACAATGGCTCGCAACAGGGTCAGTGTCCTACATATTTCTTGAGTACTAGAACATCAAAAGCAATGGGATGACATATAAGAAAGCTCAATTAAATAAACCAAGAAGATTCAAGCAAGCAAAAGTTCTCCTTTCTAGGCAGTCTCTGTGACTTGAAGCTGGCTGCTGCTGTGATAGAACAAGAGGCTTTCAGACTAAACCTGCCAGTTTCTTAATGCATCACTGCCTGGGTCAATTTGATCTGAAAATCTAATTTTTTCTTCTTCTCTAAAAGCAGAATGGCACATCACAATGCAAATTCAAACTCATTTAAATAAAGTGAAGGCAACATTTTGTGTTGAAAGCCACTCTTCCTGATCAGCAGTTCTGGAATAAACCAATATCCAGTTGTGCGTGTTGTGGCATTTTGGGGGAAGGTTTTAATGTGGCTTTTTTTTTTCAAAGGGTCTATAAAATAAGAGTCACCAGTGAAGCAGCAAAAACTATATAAAAAAGAAACTCATTAAAAATGCATTTCAGGATCACAGTTTCACCTCAGAACATTTTTATATTTAAATGAGAGCTCCTTCATTATAACTGTTATAATAACTTCTTTTGCATTTACATTTTCCTTGTGTTTCCTTTTTTTCCATTTTTGGTTTCATTAGTTTCTTGCCCATCAATAGTCAAACCTTGAAGCAGGAGTTAAAAACATTTTTTTATGGTTAGAGCTCACTGCAAATGGAAACCATTGCTCATCCAAAATACCAAGGGTGATTCCTAATTTTAATCTTTGGTTTAAGAAAACATCTGCATTTGACCAATTACTAAACCTAAAGATCTTGTATTATTGGCCTATATTTCAGAAAATGCACTGTTTTTAACATGCTTGGAAAACAATGTTTCTTTATTCCTTATGCCTTGTCTCTGAATTAACTGAACTTTAAAATAATATAAGAGACTGAGTAAAAACAATTAGTTTTATTCGGTTTTAGTATTTATTATTTTGTATAGTGTAAATTGAATTAAAAACAGACTTATGTTTTGTCTCAATGATTATAACTCAATAAAACACAACACAATTGATAAAAAATACAAAAATGGTACACTAAATATTGCTGAATATTTATCTGTTGTTGATTTTACAGTATATGATTTAACACTCTAACTTGTTAAATCAAACTGCAGTCACAAGACCAGTGAAATTATATTCTATATAATTAAATTCTTCTACTGGGGTCCTAGAGGAATTTGAGGTAACATTCATTATGGATTCCTACAGATTTCCTGAATGATTTCTTTGGAGATCATAAGATAATTCAAGGAATCTTTACAAAGCCCCACAAAATGCCTGGTAGAACATCTAAGAATTTTAATAAAATAGCTGACATAAAATTACACTTATTATAAAATGTAAACTGTAGATTAAGAAATAAAATCTTAAAAATGCAAATGTAATGATTTGATAACTATTTTAGGTGCCTCTGAAAGCAACATGAAATCTCTAGGAAGCCATTGTTTTGCTTTTTTTCTGTAAGAAACAGCTGTAATGTATAGGGTTAAGGGACATACTGGCAATGTTTGTTATTGAGTGACAGAAAGTTTTTCTAAATGATAATAGTTGCCTCAGAACCCAAGAAAATATATTTTGTGTTTGTGTTACCATCCCACTTTCCCTGGGACACATTCAGTAAAAAAATCTCTAAAGTTTTTAATGTTACTAACTTATGAAATCTACTACAGTATACTCAGAATATTAGGTGTTATATACCTAAACATTAAACTATTCATCCATAAGATTTCACTAATAATGCATTAATCTTAATTAAGTGTTAGTTTAAATACATGTATTCTTTACATTAGACTCTCCTGCACTGAACTAGACTGACGCCAAACCAGTTTTAAACCTTTATTATAAGAAACGTCTATCTACTGTAGTTGTTTTACTATAGTTAAAAATAGTTTAACTATTTGAACAGCAGGCAATACACCACATCAAAGATTATGTCAGACTCACAAGGGCAATGTCTGTAGCTGATGTCTAAAAAACAGGGTAGAACATATTCAGGAGCTAATGCCTGATGCAAACATCTTCCAACTGCAAAGTTATATTGACATTTATTGGTATGAGGACAGTGTCAACAGATTATGATCAACAATTACTGTACAACTCCCATCCCACTGCTTACCTTTCAACCCTCCATATACAGTACCTTTAACCTTCAATTGTTTGGCTCCTCACTTTATCAACTGAACTGAACTGTTAGCTCCCTATACACCCACAGTAAATTTTATTTTTGCTTTCATACTCCATCCTTCTTTCAGTTCCCAATATGAGGCTCCTAATCCTGAGATACTGTGCTTACTGTTCTGTTCCAAGACTATGGAGTCTCCCAGCCCACATCATATCTTGCAAGTCAGTCAGCACTTTCAAATCCTGTCTATAAAAGTTCACTTTTAGAACCTGCCCTACAAATGTGTTAATGTAATGTGTCCACATATCTTTATTGTTTGACTGTATAATTGAGATGACATAAAGTGATATATGAAATTAGGAAATTATTATCAGAATTATTATTACTATCTGGAGTGTATTTTCACCACACTAAACACCAAATCTATACATGGTGAAAATCAATATATGGATGGTTAAGTGAACTAGGGAGCAGTCTCTAAGGGACATGACTGATCTCAAGGTGCTTTGGTGAACATGCTCACTGTATTAAAGTTTCAACTTCCACCCCTTTCCCCCTTGAATGGAAAAGTAAAGTATAGCCAATGCTTACCGGTATGGCTTCGTTTGTGAACCATTAGCACATTGGGGCCGATGCAAACTATTCCACAGATATCACACTTTAGCTTCCCGTTGGGGAGACGAATGCCACCGACTGAGGAGTAGGCCTTGCCGTCTTGGCCAGAGTGGGAGCCATTCAGTTTCACTCCAGAGGCATCAAGCACTCGCAAATCCTCCGCACATTCTTCCCCATTCATCTCACAGGCACGCCCATTCTCTTCATCACTCTGATTTTCTACTTTAATATTACTGGCTGAAAGAAATGGCAGTAGTATGCTGTTTAGTATTAGCATGTTCTTCTACAGTATGCTCTTATTTCACTGCCATTAAAGTGACTATACCTCTCTGGACGTGACTGCACTGGGGATGTATGGGGACTTTATTTTTTTAATACTTTGGTTTCAAATCAAATTTTATCTTTGACATTAAAGAATAATAGATATTTCCAAAATATCTTTACATGCTTATCATAAAAAGAATGAAATAATTTTAAAGTTTATGTCAATTTAAAGTATTTGAGAAATGAATATTAATTTTGAGCGTACCTCCATCTTTCCAGACTTTGTGAATTGAAGTTGTTTGATTACCCTTAAAACATAGTTTTTGAATCTAATCAGTAGTTAATAAAAAATAATACATCTTCAATTTGAAACCAGTGTTAACATTCCAATTAAGCACTTTTATCTGACTCACAATTAGCCAAACAAAGGGTGACCACCAAATTCTGACACTAAGTGGGCAGGATAATTAACTTTTTCGTATAATTGATCATTTTCTTCTATTGTTTTACTGGAGTAAAAGAAAAAATCAGGGAGGTGTTCTCATTTACAGATTAGGTCCAGGTGAATACCATTCTAAAACAATGTTTGCCCTGCAAGGTATAGTCACTCTTAATACAGTAATAATAATCACATATAACAGCTTTATTCTAAACAAATTATTAATCTTAAAAAAAGCAATTCAAAACAAGCAGTTTTCCATCTTCTCTGAATACATAAAATATTATGTTTTAGGTTATTAGTGTTTGTTGGGATTTCACTAAGAAAGATAACATTCTTCAGTTTACTGAAACACTGAAAAGAGATACATTATTCTGTCAGTTTGTTTAAGATATTGCATAGAAAAAGACATTTATCAACAAATATTTCTTGCAGTTCATTTGAACTTGTGGCCATGTGAATGTCCTGCCCAATGTTCACAGTTGTAGAAACTGTATCTATACTGAACATGGAATGTGAAGGACTGCAATGGGAATGGAATATTCATGGCAGAATGAACAGAGTGATTGTCTGCTTCCCCTGGAGTTAAAAATATATGTTTTGACTTTGATCCCAAAATATACATGTATATCATATTGTATATTTGGCTTTCTGATTAAAATGCCACTTTTTAAATGTTTTTCCCTCATTTTGAGGTCTCATTGAAAACTAAACTAAAGGCACCCTTAATATATGACTGCAAGACAGAAAAGATAAGAAGCATCAGTGACAGCCTAATCCCTTTTGAATAACCCAGGTTTCAACAGCTAAAACTGGCAAATGTTCTATTATACCTCATGTGTTATATTTGTATTAGTAGTTTTACTGAATTCAAGATCCATTTCTTCCTTAAAACGGAAAGGACATATCTATCTCATGACCAAAATCATTCTTCCTCTTTTTGTGCTAAACTTTTTTTTATTGTTGTTGTTTTTCATTGGGAATAGGGAATTTCCAACAACCTATACTTTCTCTCCCACCACCTAACTTTGGCGACATCAATAACACTGAACTAAACAGGAAACATAGATTCAGAGATAGAGGAAGAAATGTGAAACTGAAGAGAGCAAGTGAATAGCAAAATGTTAGTGGACTTTTTGGGCATAAACCAGAAGCTTATATAGGATGACTTGTGTAAATACTGTGTGTATACAGTATATAGTGTACCACATTTAAGTATATATTGTTTACCACCATATCCATATATCCAGTTTTAGGGTATTAGTTTATGTGAGATGGAACCATTTCCATGTAATTGTGTTGTTAGATAACGACAAATTCTATTCGTGCATCTCTGCTCTCTTACATATAAATGCTTGCTGGTCACATCCTTTGTGTGCATTTATTCTAGCACTCCCTCTCGATTCCAGCTTCACCCTTGCAGCAGCTCCCTTTTTTGTTCCTCAGAAGTGAGGGGTTTCGGGAGACTGTGCAGTTTAGTTTGGTTCTTATGGCCAGGGCTGTCATTTCCTCAGCTAAACACTAAAATATTAAGCATGTAATCTCTTTATATTCATTGTCTCACCTTGCCATAGTTAGAATTTGACCAAACTACTGTAGCTGCCTTTACTTTCCTTCTTCTATGCTTTTCCATGCAATGGCAATACTTTTTGTTTAGTAATAGCTTGGCTGCTGTCAGGGACACAGACATCTTCAGTGAACTCCTTTATGAAAGATATTGGGAGTATTCAGGTAAAATCAGCATTTTCAGACTGAAGGCTGAGCTGAAAGTAGGAGAATAAAGATTGTAACAAGAGTGATCTTAGGATTACTTTGAGCAAGTAATGGTAAACATACTGTATTTTAAAAGACCATAGTAAAAGACTGTAATGCATTATAATAAGTATATTTTAAGCTGTCTCTGTCCACTTTTTCAGTAAGCTAAAATTACTTGTGCTGTAATTTGTGCATGTACAGTATTCAGTTGTTACAATACCTATGGTACATAAGGCCATAAGGGAGGTTACAAACGAGAGGAGGCCATTAACAGTAGTTAATTGAGCCAAGAAACTCATCCAGCCATTTCTTGAACAAAGCCAAAGTACTGGCTTCCACCACATTGCTGGGTAACTTACTCCTACAATCCTTTGGGGTAAAGGCATTCTCTGCAGAAACAGTTTTTATGTAACATTTTTTTTCCCATTTCTAAAAGAAAAAGAAACTACATATTCAGTTTAATAAGGGATATTTTTAAAGGAATATCTGCAACTGATTTTGTAATCTTACAATTCTTTAATGAAATCAAGTGGAAGATAGATGTTAAGATGATTCAGAGAGAATTATGAGGGAATTTGGAAGTACGTGAATGCATTAAGCAATAAGGAATTGCTGTACCATCTATACAAAGAAGTAATGCAATGACATTGCTTGTGCATTCTTCTTGCAACTAAGAATGTTAAGACTTAAAGAGAAAAAAAATTGGTGATAGCCAGTGATAACAATGATAAAAAGACAAAACAAATGTTTTGCAGTGATCAAGAAGTTTCTTTTTACAAGACTGTAGAGTGTGGCTCACATGGAGCTACTTGTATATGTAGCTTTCAGGTACTGAATAAACATCCCAACAATGATGACACTGCGGTTTGCATGTCATAGTGTAACCCTGTTTCCACATCTCTGTACCACTATACTGACTTGCGAAGAGGAACAAGTGGAAATAATGAAATATAGGAATCTAGGGAAAAAGAGGAAGCTTCAGCAACAAGGCCAGCCCAACTGAAATACCAAGAATTATGGAGAAGTAACAGAAAGGGAAGCACTAACAAGGAATTATACAACACTGCAACTGAAAAGAGCATGTTTGCAGTGCACAAGAACATGTAGATGGCGTTTTTATAGCAAGACATCAAACGTTTACCAGTGTCTCTGCCATCACCACAGAAGGCCACAATTTTAAACCAATCAGCTTCAAGGTGGTGCCATGCTTTCTTTCCAACCATTAACATACATACGTCTTAAAAATAATCTCAAATCATAATACAATAGGAGCCAGTGACTCAGTAAAAATTACAAGAAGAAACTTGTTCTTTATTTAATTTTGTACTCATCGAGGTACTGTATATCCTCCATTTGTATACCTTTTTTCTGCTCTGTCTTAAGTACAGTGTTTGAAAGAATGCAGTCTTTCAAAAAGAAATACAAGCTAGAAACTGATGCAGGGAACTACAATGTATTTTGAACTGACCTTTTAGTCTATTTCACTATACACAGGATAAGAAAACCACAGAACATTCAGTACAAAGAAAACAAGCAGCTTAAATTCTTGGGTCATTTCCTTTCAGGTACAGGACAGAAGACAGAGCTAATATCATACTGTATATCAATCAAACAAAGCAATTGTGGCAAAACAGGCAGTTATGTATTACATTCTCAGCACAAACCTGCTAAAAACTGTCCAATGTTCAAGCTTTCATCTGATTTCCTATGATATTTTCTAACAGTGTAATGCCTGAGTCTTCTTACTGTACCAATATATAAACTGACATTACATACAGTACAGTACAAAAATTGTATCTTAAATGTAACTCATTCAGCTTATTTGTGCAGCAGAAGTGCATTAGTTACTATAGTGATAGGTTGATTACGGAGCTTGCAAAAAAGCTCATTCATAGGTCCTATAGGTGTGATAAAGGTCATGCCTCATGTTCATTCTTCATAATGGAACACCTCTGGACTTACTTCTCAAAGTTTATTGGCAAGGTTAAGCAGGAGAATAAGGAACCACAACTGCTGAACATTAACTTTGCTGGAATATGAAGAAGCGATGACTAATCCTAAAAATGCTCCCACCACGGACAATTAGTTTTACTTTATGTAGGGTTTGTCACACATCCTAAATTACAAGTTGAGTATTTTGGGACTCAACAGCTCAAAATCTTACTGAAATGCGTAGCCCAAATTACACAGTTCGTTGTGGCTCATCACCACATTTCTTTAAGTAACGGAAGCACAAAGACAAACACCAAACTTAAGAGGATAATGAATTCTTCCTTAACAGATGCAACAAATGTGATGCTTTTGTTGATATCTCACTAATTCCACAAAAATAGCCATTTGCTATGCATTTTCATAGTACAAAAATACAATGTCATAAATTAATTTCAGAGCACAAATAAGACTTCATTTAGTTTTACCATCATCTACTGAATAGCAGAGGAATTTGAACACTTCATCGGTGATACTACATGATTTGAATAACAACTTGTTTATTCTTTTTATTAAAGCCTGTGTAGTTTACTTACTTAAATTTACTTACTTAATTAAGTCATGGAAAACTGTTTTACAACTGCACAAATGGATATACCAAAGAAATTCATCCAACTTCGCTTCAGGTGTAATTTCTATTATCTTTTGACTGCTACAGAGTTACGGAGAGTAATACTGAACATATGAATGACATATACTTATTTAAACCTTTATTGTAAGGGTGGTAACCATTTGAATTAGATGACAAAAAAAATTATGTGTCTAGTGCTACTTATTAAACCTGAATTAT